TGTATAAATCTTGTCATGGCACTCTTGATCACTAGCATTAAGAATTTGATTTGGTACTTAACTGATCGCTTTGGATCATTTTTGTAGCCCAAACCATTGAAGAATCTGAATGGGCAGACCTGTCAGATCTGCGGTGATACTGTTGGACTTACTTCAAATGGTGATGTCTTTGTTGCCTGCAATGAGTGTGCCTTCCCTGTTTGCCGTCCTTGCTACGACTATGAGAGGAAGGATGGCACCCAGTCATGCCCTCAGTGCAAGACTAGGTACAAGAGGCACAAAGGTTAGCTTTTTTCAAGATGTTAGTAGATGCATTCATTGATGTCTCATTAAGAATTCTGAATGCTGATTGATTTTTCATGTAATAATTCAGGGTGCCCTCGGGTTGATGGAGATGAAGATGAGGACGATGTTGATGATCTTGAAGATGAGTTCAGTTATCAAGGCACTGGCAAAGCACGTCGCCACTGGCAGGGCGATGATGTGGAATTGTCTTCATCATCCAGACATGAAAGTCAAATGCCAATTCCCCTTCTGACTAATGGGCCACAGGTGGTTAGAGATTACACAAGTGAAATTTCCTTGATGAGATGTATTTCCTCCTTTGATTTCTTTCTCATTGCTTGTTACTTTCTTTACGTTACACCTTTAGGTTTCTGGTGAAATTCCTACCCCTGACACGCAGTCTGTGCGAACTACATCAGGGCTGTTGGGCCAGGCGGAGAAGAATGTACAATCTTCTCCTTATATCGATCCAAGGCAACCAGGTATTAAGCAATCTGAATGTGATATTTCTTATACTTTCTGATATTTTGGTTTCCCCATAATTTCTAACTTTACAAAAATGATTTGTTGGTACAGTTCCCGTCAGAATCGTGGATCCTTCAAAGGACTTAAATTCTTATGGCCTTGGGAATGTGGACTGGAAGGAAAGGGTAGAAGGTTGGAAACTCAAACAGGAGAAGAACATGGTGCACATGAGTAACAGACATAGTGAAGGAAAAGGTGATATTGAAGGCACTGGTTCTAATGGGGAAGAGCTCCAAATGTAAGTTTCTCATTTTGTAGAAGCTGGATGCTTTAATTCTCTCTGTATAATTTCTCATTTCTCTTTTTGTTTCCATTTCTTTGTATGTTAAACAGGGTTGATGATGCTCGACAACCTCTGAGCCGTGTGGTGCCTATTCCTTCTTCTCACTTGACCCCATATCGTGTTGTAATCATTCTCCGGCTCATCATCTTGGTTTTCTTCTTGCAATACCGTGTGACTCACCCCGTGAAGGATGCATACCCATTGTGGCTTATATCTGTCATTTGTGAGATCTGGTTTGCTTTGTCTTGGCTTCTGGATCAGTTTCCCAAATGGTATCCCATCAATCGTGAGACCTACCTTGACAGGCTTGCTTTGAGGTTAGTAGTTTAGTACTGAATCCCCGACCGATGTTTTAAGTTTGTGAAAGGTCTGATCAAAGAATGTATGTTTTGTATTTACAGATATGACCGTGAAGGGGAGCCATCTCAACTAGCACCTGTTGATGTGTTTGTGAGTACTGTGGACCCCATGAAAGAACCTCCTCTGATCACTGCAAACACGGTCTTGTCGATTCTTTCTGTGGATTACCCGGTTGACAAAGTATCCTGCTATGTCTCTGACGATGGTTCAGCAATGTTGACATTTGAATCCCTCTCCGAGACTGCCGAATTTGCTAGGAAGTGGGTGCCATTCTGCAAGAAGCATCATATCGAGCCTAGAGCTCCTGAGTTTTACTTTGCCCAGAAGATTGATTACTTGAAGGACAAGATTCAACCTTCGTTTGTCAAAGAGAGACGAGCAATGAAGGTGAGCTCTCTGAAAAATTCCATTGCAACTTGTAAATGGTTTCATCATTTGCATTGATATCTAAAAGACACCTCTACTATGTGCAGAGAGAATATGAAGAATTCAAGGTGCGGATCAATGCACTGGTTGCTAAAGCACAAAAAATGCCTGAAGAAGGCTGGACAATGCAAGATGGAACTCCATGGCCTGGAAATAATCCCAGGGATCATCCTGGAATGATCCAGGTACTATATTGTTCCTCTCTACTCTTGGTGATAACCTTTCTTTTTCAGTCTTGTTCAGCCGAAGTTGACAAACTTCCTCCCTTGCTGTGCAAAACTAGGTCTTTTTAGGACACAGTGGTGGACTTGATACCGACGGAAATGAACTACCTCGTCTTGTGTATGTTTCTCGTGAAAAGAGACCCGGTTTCCAACATCACAAAAAAGCTGGAGCAATGAATGCATTGATTCGAGTTTCGGCTGTCCTGACCAATGGTGCCTATCTACTGAATGTCGATTGTGATCACTACTTCAACAACAGCAAAGCTCTGAAAGAAGCCATGTGTTTCATGATGGACCCTGCCTATGGAAAGAAGACATGCTATGTGCAGTTCCCCCAGAGGTTCGATGGGATTGATTTGCACGATCGATATGCTAATCGCAATATCGTCTTCTTCGACGTAAGTCTCTGCATGATCAATATCTAGTAGCGAACAACCTCTCTTGGATTTTTGTTCAACTGTCTTAAAAGACTTGTGCTTTATGCTGTCATCCAAACTTTTCAGATCAACTTGAAGGGGCTGGATGGTATCCAGGGCCCAGTTTATGTGGGAACTGGTTGTTGTTTCAACAGACAAGCACTTTACGGTTATGATCCTGTTCTTACCGAGGAGGATTTAGAACCCAACATTGTTGTCAAGAGCTGCTGTGGATCAAGGAAGAAGAGCAAGAGCGGTAACAAGAAATATTATGACAAGAAGAAGGGAATGAAGAGAACTGACTCCTCCGTCCCAATGTTCAATCCAGAAGATATTGAGGATGGTATGGAAGGTTGGTTTCCTAGGAATTTTTACCACGCTATTCTTCCATCTCTTGCAATTAATTCAGTACTCTTTTTTTACAGTCCAGCTTAAGGCTATAGACCTTTTCCCTAGTTTCATTTTTGTATCATATCATTTGTTTTGTTTGACATGTTAATATATTTGTATCCTCAAGCTTTAAAGGAAAATGTGTCTCTCATCTTAACTGTGTTGATGCTTTTTTCCAGGCTATGACGACGAGAGGTCTCTCCTAATGTCTCAGAGGAGTCTTGAAAAGCGTTTTGGTCAGTCTCCGGTTTTCATTGCTGCAACCTTCATGGAGCAAGGAGGCATTCCACCCTCAACGAATCCTGCCACCCTTCTCAAAGAAGCTATCCATGTCATTAGTTGTGGTTATGAAGACAAGACTGAATGGGGCAAAGAGGTCGGTATTTGTCATTATCGTAACTCTATCTAGTTAGTCTGTACAGAGTTAACTAAATCATTTTCGCCTGCTGACACAGATTGGATGGATCTATGGTTCGGTTACTGAAGATATTTTAACTGGGTTCAAGATGCATGCCCGTGGTTGGATTTCTGTCTACTGCATGCCTCCACGCCCAGCATTCAAAGGGTCTGCTCCTATCAATCTGTCCGATCGACTGAACCAGGTTCTTCGATGGGCCTTGGGTTCGATTGAGATCTTGTTGAGCAGGCATTGCCCCATATGGTATGGCTACAATGGAAAACTAAGGCTTTTGGAGAGGCTGGCCTACATTAACACCATTGTCTACCCCATCACATCTCTTCCACTGCTCGCCTACTGTGTCCTCCCAGCCTTTTGTCTCCTCACTAACAAATTCATCATTCCCGAGGTTCGTAGCATTCTATCCTCATTTCTATAATTGTACGTAGAACTGAAAAGCATGTGAGAACCAGAATTGTAATATTTTATGGATCATGCAAAATCAATTTTTAACTTTTTTTCATTTACCAATCAAGCTCCTCCATATAGAATTTCATAGCTCGAAAAGAAACTTGAAATTCCCCATCTACATGTCTTTTAAGTCGTGGATTGACTGCACTGTTCTTATTTCCTATCTTGCTCTCCATTTTCAGATAAGCAACTTTGCCAGCATGTGGTTCATCCTTCTCTTTTGCTCCATTATCGCCACTGGAATCCTCGAACTCCGGTGGAGTGGAGTCGGACTCGAGGACTGGTGGAGGAACGAGCAGTTCTGGGTTATCGGTGGCACTTCAGCTCATCTATTCGCAGTCTTCCAAGGTCTCCTTAAGGTCCTTGCTGGGATCGACACCAACTTCACCGTCACATCGAAAGCTAACGATGAAGACGGCGACTTTGCAGAGCTCTACATCTTCAAATGGACGGCTCTCCTCATCCCGCCAACCACTGTCCTCATAGTAAACCTGGTGGGCATCGTTGCTGGTGTCTCGTTCGCCATAAACAGTGGCTATCAATCATGGGGCCCACTATTCGGAAAGCTGTTCTTCGCCCTGTGGGTCGTTGCCCATTTGTATCCCTTCCTCAAGGGTCTTTTGGGTCGCCAGAATCGTACTCCGACGATTGTCATTGTCTGGTCCATTCTGCTTGCCTCCATCTTCTCGTTGCTGTGGGTGCGTATCGATCCCTTCACATCTGCCTCCACAACATCAGCTGCTAATGGTCAGTGTGGTATCAACTGCTAGGATATATAAGTTTGTTTACATAGATAAAATCATTCGTGTACATAACAAAGACGAATCGAGGAGGTGAAGAGATGGTGTGCTATTTATGTAAACGTGTTGCTCATGACCCAGACAAGGGAAAGCAAGGATAAGGATAGATATCTTGTCCAGGTTGGTTCGGCCTCCAAGTCGTCATTTTTTGTGGGAGTTTTCTGATGTTATATGGTGGAAGGACGATCGCGAACTGTAACTCTGATTTATTTGTGTACACTTAGGCTACGAGTAATGAATGTTGCAGCTTTCTCAATGTTACGAGTACCAGCAACCAACTCTCGTTGTAATTAGGTATCCTTAGCTCTTGATTCGATAGCTACCTGGCTTGGTTGCCAGGAACTAACCCCACAAGATACTCTATTAGTGTACAACAGGTTCTTACTATAAAGAGAACAATACAAAATAACGTTAGCACTGCTACAAGAAAATGGGTATTTTTTCAACAGTAAACACCTCACTTTCTGGCTAAGTTGACCCTAATGCGCTACAACATAATATAATGTTAAAAATTAGCGTGACAAAAAGATAACACATTAAGCAAATAGAGCCCTACGCGAATGATGGCTGCCTTTCAAGGTCGGGAAACAGATAGCTTCTTGCTACAAGTGCACTCTTCAAGGGATGGGCTGCGAGCAGCAGGTTTGCTAGAACAAATGAGTGCCTTTCGAAGGTAGGGCTTCGGAGGGAGAACCCATTCACCTCTTTCCACGACCTGGCACGCCAGACCTGGGACCAGGATAGCGAGAAAACTGCAGCCTCAAGTAGTTCGACTCCAGGTCATGCTCATCCATCTTGTATCCTACACATTCCGGTCCATTACCATTAGTAACCCGAGGGGGATTTGAGATAAGGCACAATCAAATGCAATTTCAAGGTGAAGGTAGATTATTACCTTGCAAAGCACTCATTGCAGTAGCAGCACATGCAGGATCCATAAAATCAACAAAGCAAAGAATGATCGGGTCTCCACGCTGCATTTGGTGATGTAAAAATAATGCATCCATGACGATCAAGTTCCCAACATAGATCATCAAAAACATCAAGGGCAGGACGATAGAAGTCATAAGATTCATATACTCACATGTTTAGATTCCTTGCTAACCAGTCTCAGGTCTTTGTATCCCACAAAAGGGCGAAAGATGTCTAAAGATAGAAGTGAAAGAAAGCAAACAGAGAGTAGTAGTCAAATGAAGCAAGTAGTAGAAGCATCAGTCTGTTTTAAAAACAATGTGTTGAATTTTTAGAATAGATGAAATAATCAAAGTATGGTAGTTTTGCACTGGAGGCAGAGTATAGAAGAAAGAAGAGGGAAAGTCTAGCATGTAAAATAATATTTGCATTAGCAGGATACGAGCTACTTCTCTCCTTGTACAATCTGGAGGAAGTCCTTCCACATAGAGAGTGTTTGAAGCATCGGGAGGAAGTGGTACTGTATCACGACCAGGTCGCGGTAATGAACTTGCTCCTCCTGATGGCGGACCACCATAACCATTGGTTGTCATATCTGGAGCTGTTGCTCTAGGACGGTCCATTACAGCAGAATCTACCATTGGGAGACTTGACATTCCGCCACCTCCACCAAATGCATTGGCTTCTCTAGCAGCAGTAGGAAGACCTTGCTTCAAAAGGAATTCAGATGAGTTTTTTAGTAACAAATCATGCATATGTATGATGGGTAAAGAAGGAAAAGGTAGGAGTGTAAGAGTATCACATTTTGAAGATAGCGTTCATATGCCGATACAATCGTCTTTGTGTCTTTCACAGGCTGATACCCGGTCCCACCATCTCTTGCAGTTCCATAGTAACTATTCATATCGTAGCCTGCAGGAACTCCAGAATTCTGCATGTCTGCTAAAATAGTTGGTACCGCTGTCAGAGGGGAAGTCACTTGATAGTCGTAATCATCATGGTTCCATCACTTAGGCAACACATTCATGCGTTTACAACATTGGAATGGAATAAAACAATTGCTAATGAAAACTAGTAAAAGACGACTACAATCGTTAAAGCCACCAATAAGTGATATATAGCATATGAATACAAACACACTCATACTTGAGGTTCAAATTCCCCAGCTTCACTTACATGACAACCACGAAACAGAGAACGAAAAGATTAAAGAAGATGCAACCTAAATCACAATATGGATTAAGAAGAAAGACAACAGCAAAGTCCATAAACATCCTCATTTTGTTCAAAAAAGTACCCAAGTGCCCCACTCTGCGGCAAAGATAGCAGGGAAAACAATTTTCAAGAAATGAAATTGGAAGAAGCTTTTTTTCCTAGTGACACCAATGAATAGATGAGGAAACAACTAAACAAGTATGATAGGTTTCCTAGTTCCCAGGGGAAGCAATTACGACAGTTAACTAGCTCAATAATACCAAGCTAGCTGACCAATTAACCCCCATAATGTAAATCAGCAAACTTCCAACACTGGGTGCAGCATAACTAAGATAGGCCAGCTGCATATACTTCTGAGCTTAGCATTTCCTGTTCCCACTTCTTATCAATACACTATCGTAAGAAAAAGTATTCTGATTGATCACAAAAGTCATTAAATAAGGATCTCAATCAAGTTATACCAGGATAGAAGATTGCTCTAAAAGGAATTCACTATCATATAAGCAACAAAGTACATTTGTCTATAGCTGTACACCAAAGTCATATGAAGCAGTTCAAGAAAATTTGAAGAGAAAATATTCCACAGTAACCTATCCTCGTTTCTCAAGAGCTTGTACAATCGCACACCTATAGTCCATCTCACTGTCCATCGGATAAAACTACACACTGTATATTCCAAGAAGAAATGGGAAACAAGATACCATACCAACTCAAGTCACATATTTCAGAAAGTTGGAGATAGTATACTAAAGCATTACACGGAAAATAGCTACAGCACACAAGCCATTTCACATACAAACCAGGATCAGCATATAGCTCCTTTTCAAGTCAAAAACTGAACTAAGAAGGAATTCCCTATTATCCAAAGCTCCAAATGCAACAATTAAGGCTACGTCTTAATGAAAACAACACCATTTGATTCAGGGTTCACTTCACTCCACACATCCTCTTTCTGCTTCTATCTATTCTATCCTACCCCATCTTCAAAAAACAGAAAATGGTTTGAACCAATAAGAAGCAGCCTCAGTTCATTTATTCATTTCTCGTCTAATTCTTCAGTCACCAAGTCAAGTCTTTTCAAAACTCAAATCTTAAAATACTATCAGAGATCAAGGTTAAACTAAACCCCTGAGCTCCGAGCCACAGACCACATCGACCGAAATTGAACTAGCTTGATTCCCCGAAAGAAGTAGAGAACAGACACAGAAAGGGCGAGAATTTCAAGTAATAGGAGGGAGTGAAAATGAGCAACGCACCGTACTCAGTGCGAGGCCGCTTCAGCATGCCGCCGGCGGGGAGAAGAGAAGGTTGTTGCTGCCGGTTCCAGTAGCCGTCGGACATTGTTTTCCTTCCCACCTGATACAAGAAGCCAGAAATTTGCACTCCACGGGGGGAGATTCGAGAGGGAAGAAATCGAGCTTTCTTCGAGAGAGAGAGATCAAAACTGAACCACGAACCCTAACTTCAGAGGAGATGACAATTGGAGGGAGCGAGCTTCGGGTACATGATATGAATGCCAATTTCTGGGAAAAAGGAGTAGACGCTTTTCTTATCAATTTTCCCCCTTTTTTCCGCCTTTTCAGTTTCATTAGTTTTTGGTCAAGGGGCCCAAGAATTGTGTTGCAGCGCGGTGGGCTATCTCCGAACGGCCCTACACTTTTGTAGACGGGTTATTCAGTATGAATTGGGCTCAAGCCCAAGGACTATTAGTTACTTCACCGTAAACCGATAAGTAACTTTTTGGTTTGGTTAACCAAACCATAAAGTAAGCAAAACTAAAAGTAAAAACCCAAAATAGATAAATTCCCAAAAATCAAAATCAAAACCGTGTATAGATTTTTATTGGTTATTGCATAACCGAAAACTGATAAAACTCTTGGCGATTTTTGGTTTGGTTTGGATAAACAAAAACCCCAATCCTTAGTTTGGGAAGTCGATTAATTAATGGAGTTAAAAAGAGACAACAAAAAAAACATGAAGATAGAGAAGAAGTCTAGTACCCATAATTTGGTGACAACACTTCTTGTTGATGGGTGTTACTTAGTTAGGATGTTAACAATTTCTTATCGGTTTTTCATTGCTAATCGAAACAAAAACCAGTAAAATGGTAAACGGTTTAAAATCAAAAGCTAAGAACCGGAAAAAAAAAAAACCAAGCGGACAATTAGCTTCTACCGTACCCTTCATCAAGGAGCCCAGGTTGAACTACTCTTGATCAGGTCAGGATACAGCTGAATCAATCACAGGTGTATTATTATTATTATCACCGTGATCAAAGAAGTCTCTGTACACATGCACAGTGACAAATCTAAAGATACAGATCTAGTTATGAAATGGTACGTAATCAATCTTTAACCGAGGCAGGTCCCATATTTGCTCAATCATAGAATAGGATAGGGCTTTTCCATACCCTGGTGCATGCATGCATGTACAAAGATGGATCATTAATGGTGGGAGACAAGGCTGAAAGGCATCATATGAAATGAGTGACCATATTAATTTAGGTCTGGCCCTTCCATTTTTTAGTTATAAGTTTGGAAAGCACACACATTCTAGCTAGCGCCAGCTTTGTTTGTTTGTTTTCCTCGGGCAAAAATGGATCGTATGCCAGGAACCATGGAACACCCTGCTAGATCTTCTATAAAGAAAAGGCCCCGATCCCCACCACTATTAGCAAAAATAATGCCTCTCTCTTGATCATATTACTGCTAACTGGTTTAATTAATTACTGTATGTACTCATTGTTGTCGTAAGTCATGATCATCCTGAGAGGATGAGATATGAATCAACGCAGTAATCAATGTTGTATTTAGGGTGGTTTCGATGAGGCCGCGCTGGTCCGATTGTCTCGGCGGAATGAAGTAATCGGATCAAATTGTCTCGTTTGAACAACGCACAATATGTAGAGATGCAACAATTGCGCCGTGATTTGTTTCGTTTTTTGCATCAATTTGAATTGACAGAGGGAGGGGTCGTGTATTTCTCAAATGATGCATCATTTGCTTGGATGATGGAATTCATGAAATGAGACAATTAGATCAAATAGATTCAGAATTGTTCATAATATTTATTCATCCCATTTTCAATTCAAACTGATGCAAAAGAAAACAATCCAACTTGCTTCTGCCATTTTGTATTGCCATACGAGATAATTTCATCTAATTGCTTCCTTCTAAAACAATTGGACCAAATTGCAACGGTAATGTTGTTTATGACTTTATCTTGAACCAATTGTCATATATAATGTTTTTTCTCTTTTTTTGGTCCAACTCATACTAAAAATTCTTATACAAGTACCAAGATTGTATATAGTAGACACTTATGGTAATCAATTAAAGCAGTAGAAAATTTCAGTTTTTTTTATAGCTTTTTTATTGGAGTCGTCGTGCATTCCTATGACTTCTTCTTGGTTCCATAAAACATCACAAGCACATGTAAAATATAGTTTACATCACACATATATTTAATTATTTGATTAATATATAGATTGTAAATCTCTCGTCCATCCAATCCCAAATCGCAATCTGGGAATGGTGGTCGGCTCGAACGTAAGAATATGAGGACAACCACGGCTTAGTTGCTCACTTGCCAACCTACCAAATCTAACATAGTAACACGTACTCACCTTAGAATCCACGAACAAATTCCTTGTATATATATATATTTCACTAACTTTCATGCATAGAAAGCACAACAAAAAAAGGTGAAGAAATGAAAAATCATACAATCAATATCTCTTATTGGTTCTTGTTTTTTTGGGGTGTCTTGGTTATTTACAAATGATGACTAGATGTTGATGATCGAATCATAGGGGTTTTCAACCAATAATTTAATAAACTAATCCATGCTTTGGTTAAGATGGTTGGAGTAGCACTGAATGAGACATTTTTGTCTGTTGAATCTAACTTATCCCCATTAGAGAGCTTTGCCACTACTATTAGGCTAGCTACACTACTACATCGACTCAAGGGCAACAACTAATTCATCGTAGCATTGTATCACATTCTCGCTTCCAATTCCAACATCCACACTATGTTTGGAGACTCTGTCTAATTTCACCAACTCTTTTCATCTCTTTGTATAACACTACTGCTCTAATGTCGTGTCATTCAAAATAATCATAATGTTTCTTCTCCTGTGTCATCAGAACATTGACGTCACTAGCTCAAACAAGACAAACTAATTCACTTAACAAACAAAGATTTCAACAAAATTACCAAAACTCAAACCTTAGAGCCAAACAATAGACAACCGAAAGATTTTCGATTTGGGTTGCCAACAGTATGTGAAATTCTTCGAGAAGCTATTAGCCCGCAATCGCACAATACCTCTGGATTATCGTAGTAGAATTCATCAATCCTTTTCTGCCCCTTTTCCCCCTATTGGCCATGATAGCCTCTCTCGGATTAATAAACACAAACATAGATTTTTGTAGCTAAATGTTGGAAATCTTCTAAACCTATACATCACAAATGATACGGCTAACTAGTACCTGACTAACGAATGTTGTCCTTAAAAAGCTTATTATGAAGTTGAGTTGAAAATTAGTAGGGCCTATTATTTCTTTTGACGAGCCAAGCTTGAGCTTGAATTTATAGCTTTTTTTTTGTTTTTTTTTTATAGCTTGAATTTATAGCTTTTACAAAGCTCGAGATGATATATTCTGTGTCGAGCTCGAGCTTAAGCTAGACAAAAAAAATTGGTTCAGCTCGACTCGTTTACAGCCCTAATGTCGATCCCAGACTCCTAATGAGGCAGTTCCAACAGAAGTTGGGTAATTTGGGGAGACCTCGAACAAGAATGAAGAAGCTTGCGAATGAGGGGTAAACATTGAAAAACAATAATAAGAATGAGAGATTTCAAAATATTTTATGCTCATCAACTATTTCAAAACCTCACGATAGAGAGTTTTTAAAATTTATAATCTCCAAATTCCTCTTCTTTTCCAAACGCATGATTATGTTGACATTCGAGAGGATAAGAGATTTGAGCAAAATCACTCGTCCAAAACTCTCATCCAAACGATCCATAAAACAAGAAATTTTGTTCATTTCAGTATTTCACCTCTAGAAGGCCAAAATTCCCAAGACCCGTAGCATTATCACTTATCAGGCAGTAGAGGTGCTAATCGGTTCGTGTCGGTTAACCACTAACCAATATGGCGATTAGCAATTAACCAATAAGCAAAAAACTCATACCGATAACTTAATAATGTAGAAGATTAACCAATAAGCTTTATCGGCTAATCTTCTCTTATAGGTTCGGTTAGTGATTAATTTAGCGGTTAACCAATAAGAGCTAAAATACATTATAACAAGGTACCAATATACCTAACCAAATCAACATGCAATAACTTCTATTTTCTTTCACGAAACATAATAAGGCTAAGAATAACAACTTGTAGTACACAAATCATCAACCAATTAAGTTTAACAAGTGGCATTTAACGAGTTCATTAAATCCTAACCACTTGTAAAACAATTTAACTACAATTCTACATTATTAACATAAAATTCTAATGATAAGAAATAATATCAATACAACATCGATCCATTGTGAAATCATAATCCAAATCTAAATTCATATTCAAACACATAAAATTAAAATAATCAAATATCTTCATCTAATTAGTGAATACAAACTACCAATATATCATACACTAGTACCACAAGATCATCATCATCCACAAATATCAAAGAAACTAAGACTACTAGGGTGCAACTTCGCTATGTCGATTGCAAAGGGGAGTAAGAAAGGATGACTTTTGGGTTCTGACTTTTAAACACATTTAAGACTTTGGTGGAGGGTTGTTTGCAATAAGTGAAAATTGGAATGTCTGGAATTGTGAATTTGTTGGTTTTGAACTTTGAGACTTTTTTTTTCCTTAGACAAAGACCAAAACTATATGATTATACTAGCATATAGTTATCGATTTTCTTATCTATTAATCACTAATCAACCACTAACCGATTAATCAGTTAATAGTTAACCATTAAACAAAATACAACTAACTGAAATCAAATCATTATGAAAATAACGATTTATCGATTAACTATTAAACGCCCTTATCAATTTTGTAAAGTCATAACCGACTAATCATTTACCACCCTTTGACAGGCAGCCTCACACAAAGCACAAATGTTTATTCATATTTTCTGCTTTTTAAACCTTTGGAATTTTAATTTGTACTTAAATAATTAAAATAGTATTACTATATTGAAGAAAAAAATTAAAATAGTATTAAGTTTCGCATCTCTCTCTTTCTTTTTCCTTTTGTTTTCTCTTCTTTGACGCTCTCCAGTTTTTTCCTTTTCCTTTCTCCTCTCACAATCGAGAGTCGCTGCCCCAGCCTGCCTGCCACCTCCTCCTCCTCCTCTCTCTCTCTACTTAGTTCCTCATTTGTCCTCGGTTTCCGTTCCATCCTCCTCCTCCGCGGTCACGGCGGTCGTCGGTCCTCCATACCGTCTCCGGAAACATTCTCCTTCCGGCGGCTAGAAACCGTCTCCACTCGGTGGGCGATTAACTGCCGCTGCACGAATTTCAGGGAACTGTTTGTTGCTCCTCTTTGGCGTGCCTTCTTCTTGCTACAGCAGCAGCAGCCAGTCAATCGTGGTGGCGATCACTGAGTTTGACTTGGAATTTTCGTTTTGATTTTTCTCTGCCTCGGAAGGGGACTAGTAGATCTGTGAAGGGAGCTGGTTTTCGTTTTTTTTTTTTTTGTTCATCTTTTTCTCTCCCCAAATTTGGTTTAGTGGAGGGAAGGGAGCAAAACAGAGAAGAGAGGAAAAAAGACTGCGGCGGCGCCGGCGGGTGGGTTTTGATGTGAGGGGTGTGGTAAATGGTATATGATGAACGGAGCTCTGGTGAGCGATCGGAGAGGGAGGTGGCGTTTTGTTAGAAAGTTCTTCACATGGAATGGCAGATCTTGTTAGCTACGGTAATGCCAACCGTGACACCGAGCAGGTCTGTTCCTCTGCAACTCTCTCTTCTCTCCAAACATGGAGGCCTTGCGTTGATGTCAAATTTAGGAAATTTTGGGGTTTTTGGTCCCCTGAAAATTGTCAATTCCATTTCTTCTGCTTACATGTTGCTGCATACGGTCGAACGAGAATCAAAAGCACAAGACTTTAGGACGGGTTTGTTGTGATTTATTTGATTGAATTTCGAAAGTTTCGTCGGACGAGGGAAATTATCTTGGGAACATTTGTATAGACAATCCCGAAAATTCCTCCTAATTTCTGTTGTGGGGGTTAGCTAGCTAGCTAGCTCTATGGGAGTATTTTCTTGGAACTGCCTTGCTTCATAGTCTGGGCTTTAGAATTCTAGGGGTTTGTTTCTAGGCCTTACGGGAGCAGATGGCTTAGTGAAAGGACATTGTAGTTGCATTGCTTCATGCTCTATAGCCTTTTGTGTTGTGTATGCTGATTTACATGGCTGTTCATGATTGAAACACCGCGGATGGACTTGACATTGTGGACTTGACTATGGATTGTATAAAATTGGGGGCTCTTGAGAAGCAATGATTGAAAAGAAAATAACGGAACAAGAGAAAAAGAAGGGGAGGCTTGATATTAAAAAAGAAGGGTGTGCATAGTTTTGATTTGTGATTGTCAATGTGGCCAATACATACTTTGTTGGTATTGCTAGCTACGAGCTTGCTACTTGGTTCAGTGTGTAAGGAAGTGTTGGTAACTGTACGAATGATGCCATTGGCCACGCCTCTAGCTTGTATTGTGATGTATAAAAGCGCAGCCAGTTGATTTGAGCTACTTGTTCTATTTCTTGCTTTTGTACCCTCTCTTTACCACTTAGTTAGCCCATTGTGCTAATAATTTATTTGTCTACTTTCCCCAGGCTTTAATTGCTTTGAAGAAGGGGGCTCATCTTTTGAAATATGGTCGGAAGGGAAAACCCAAGCTTTACCCATTCAGACTTTCTTATGTAAGTTTGGTCTTCGACTTTGTAGGGTCTGATAGACTAAGCTATATTAATGAGAGTATCCTTAAGCTATATAATAATTTTCTGGTCTGGATATATCAGCTTACGGTAACACACTGTATAAATGATGCTGTATAGGGCTGTTGGGTGATTAGTTATATGTGTGATGTAGTTGTCTTCAGGGTTTAAAAGAAGCAGTGAA